GAACGATTTGTATTGAAAATCTTTACAGTATGCTAATAAATTTTCTTATGCTAATTAATTATGCTAATCAATTATGCAAATTAATGTCCGGTCAAATTGGTAAGATGTCCGACCAAAATGAAGATTTGAAAGGACACATGTCCTGTTAAAGAAGAAAAATTATTTCCAGCACTGCTACAGTATTGTACCGTTACCTCTTTTCCTTTTAAAGCACGTTCTACTTACAGTTCTTTTGAAGATTACTACAGATTTCTTTTACTTTATGCTGCCTAGTTGTCTTAAGAATTTGCCGGAACCCATTTGGGTAGAGAAACTCACTATCAGAGCAAGAACACATTACAAAGATACCAAACAACACTGGAGCCCATACCTCTCGCTCTAGACTGCGTTGTGCAAGCCACTAAGCCGCCTCTTTGCCGCAGCACCATTCACATAATAGAGCGATTTTCAATTGAGTGTCGAAAATAATCAGTCTTTTAAGTTTTTCTTCGGTTTGAGATTGGCTGAGTAGTCTAATTGGTAAGCAATTGGTTTGGTTTTGGTTTTACGACACTCGGTTGAAAACCACTCCAAAGCAAATTAAAGAACATCATTTTATCGTTAGTACACTCTTCAAAATGCTAGCCTGAAAGAAAAACCTCAAGTTCGCACTTACTTTATAGTACTTGGTGTGCGTTTCTCGTTGTCCGTTTGGAAATTCAATAGTTCTCTCTCCTTCCACGCTCACTTTCTGAATGGTGCCATCACTAAATACACACTCCTCCGCTCCGTTGGGGTATAGGTATTTAATGGTCTGATCAGGAAAAATGATCTCCTTTGTACCATCACGGTAATGCTTTTCAATCTGTTTACTGAATGAACGAGAAACAGAAAACAATTCTGAAGCACGAAAGTAAATGTGACCTCTCTTCGTCGGCAATTCCGAGGCAGAATAAACTGGGCGTTATACAGAGGTGGTTTTACCGTGTAGGGAGGTTTCAATTTGAATAAAAAGTATAGATCGGCGATAAGGGATAATGATTGAAAAACGTGGCGCCGTGGAGAGGTGCACATTAACAGGGAATTGACAGCTATTAAGAACGGTTTAACCTCTATAATACGGAGAGCGAGGGGCTCGAGCTGAGTGTCCGTATTCTGGAGGTGTCCGTGTTATACAGGTAGAGAACATAACAATTCTGGATCGTGTTTCTGTGAGATCAATTAATAGGTAAGGTAAAGTCTGCGTCAGACCAGTGGCCTATACAGGGTCCGTAAGGTGGAATATTGACACAAGGTATTCACTCAGTGAAATACATAACACATCAATTCAGTAAGTATGATGTTAAATTACGGCATTATATATACCACAGATATCTGATTGATCTTTCCAAAATATAACTACAAACCTGGGAAACTGAAGAACCTCCAGTCCGTCAGGGTAAGTGGTATGTGTTGTTTGCGCGTCGGAGTAATAGTAGATCTAATTGAAGAATGAGAATTATTAAAGTGCAGTCAAGGCGTAAATGAACAGTGTCCGCAGCACCTGGCTCACTCGGCTCCCGGCTGTTTTTTTCCGGTATCCCAGCAATAAGCCTTCTCCGCTTCAGTGTTTACAGAAAATCTTGACGTCTCTTATTGCGAGCTACCGCCATCAGCATTCCACGAAATTCACTAGTGAGGGGGCGCATAACAAGGGCAACTACTTTCACACATTATCACCTAGAACTGCAAACATGAACTTTCACTGCCAAGCCCAAACGTCCCCTTTCAATGACAGTATATCTACCTATAACGAAGCACTAAGTTTGTTCATAGGTAATACAGAGAAATGGTTAAGAAACCCGGTAAACATCAAAGAAGCAAACAAACAGGCTAAGATTTCTGTTGGAAAGTCCTTGACCCTGCACATCTTTTGTTTTATGCTCACTGACTATGCATGAAATACATAATCGCAATTTTTCTATTGGTTAGTTGTAAGGGCACACATAACCACCTTTTATATATTGCCAGGTTTTGTGCAGGGTAAATCTCCCAAAACAGCCAACAAAA